CATGTTTTTTGTTCTATATTTATGAGAAATATATTTTTTGTTGTATTCCACTTCATAAGGAGGTTCCTTTTTGAATACCTTTCGTTTTATTATCTACGTATATATCAGGCCATGAGTAACCACTTATAGGTCACGGATAGAAAAACCAAAAACAGTTTTAGACATTTACAGCCGTGATCTTTCAGTCCCATATTACTTATATAGGACTGAGACAACCACCCAGGCTCACACGGCTATATTACAGAATTTCTGACGAGACAACTAAGGTGTGTCACTCGGCTGTTATCGAAAACAACCTGAGACGCCACATTTGTGTCTCACGGCAGCCAGACTGAGGAATTAAAAGTCAGCATTACTAGACCAATTCGCTAAATATTGCTCAAAATGCATTGACGCGACATCGACAATTGAAATTCTAAAATCCCCCTTGTTACCTGCAGCGTTGACTACTATTTGGAGAAATAATTTTTATAGATGTAATATCATGGATACTCCTCTTGTTTGATAATAAATATAACCCGATGCAATTGATTGCTATTATCGTTTTATGCTTAAGAAAGGTACCCCTAACTGAATCGTTGCTGTGGAATTACGACTGACGACGTGATATAAATATAGCCTCATCTATACGTTTGAAAAGGTTTAAGTATTTATCTTGCTGTGAGGATAAATTCAAAAAATCCATTCTCAAACAGTTTTTAAACGCGACAGCATCATTTGGCAAATTGTCTTGAGCCCCACAAAAGATGGCTAAAAATGTTTCCCTAAGAAATATCGGAATAAAGTATATACTAATAACAGATAGCTTACAGATAGTGATAGGTTAACTATTAGCTGCAAGTGTGGGAACAATCTCCCGGTAGCTGTTAGAAGACGAATGTTGTAAAAGGATAAGCACCTTATCCCTCTGACCTCGCTAATGTCTTTTTTCTGCTTGACGAATGAGCAACGTACATCTTCCCCCATTATGCCATTAGCTGGTCTACTAAATGCTGCGTAAATACAAAGGGAAATGTTGCCTGCTTGCCGCAAAACTACTTACATTTTTATTAATTATATTCACATTTGGTATTCACATTTGGTTAGTGACTGTAACGTTTCTATTCTGAAAATGATGAGTAATTCTATACGGTTAAAAAGAGGATTAAAATTATTGTGGAATCTTTTATAAGTGCTGGCGAGTAATCTTCAAGAATGCTATGTGAAGGTATTTTTATGCAAAGTAACTTTTTTGTGATAGTAGCAAAATTCTGAGTTTGAGTTGTTAGTTTGGGTACTTACAAGGAGGGGTCTCCGAAACCAGGATTTGATTACGTTCAACAATACTGGTTCTTTGAAATTATGATGAAGCGCATCTGCTTTATTTTAACGAGTTCTGGGTTAGATTGATGCTGTATATCGTTTTGGTTAAGTTTTTTATAAAGTCGCTTTCAAAAAGACCCCTATATACATGATCCAGTAGCTCTGATTTAGAATGACGAAACTGATGAAGGAATAATAAATTTTGCAGCAGAAATAGCAATTGAACGTTATATATATATCGGAAGGGTCATGTGATTATTAGTTCTGAATGAGCAATGAAATATGATATATTAATTTTAAAAAAGGTTCAGAAATCGTTTAAATGGAATTATACTATTTACCTACCATACTAAAAATATGTAGCACAGGCACAGTAAAAAATGCTGATAGTACGATTCAGAGAGTTGACAGTCATCACGATTGACCAGCTTCTCTACATAACATAGTAAAAGTATGTACCATGAATAGAACACTGATACATATACAGGGTGACTTTGAAGTTGAGTCATTAATTTTCAGATAATGATTGTAGAAGGAAGATAAACCAAAATATGTGTGTAAAAATAAAAAAAAATAAAAAAAATGTTTACCTTGTTTTATAAAGTATCCTCCCGACAAGTATTTCAGTGCCGACCTGTATTTGATCGTGAGGTCTTGGAGCACCGGCATGCCGTCCATATGTGAGGTCTTAAGTCAAATGATTCACGAACCCGTTGTACTACATTAACAAAGGCACGAGGGGTTGGTTGCACTCGATTGGGAAACCGATCCGCATAAACATGTGCCATTTTTTATATCGTTTGAGCCACGCAACAGACACCACTATCCACTACCGACTGACACTGACTGTATACAAATGAATGAAATAATTGTAAAAACATCGTTCCAAATTCTTTCGCTTTTTTGTTTCCGATGCGATGAACCGATAAGGCGAATTATATCCGTTGTCGCCAAACACGAGCACATAATATTATTATTGAGACAGGGCGGTACTCAAACTTCCAAAGGGCTATAACTTTGTTACTTTAATTTTACCAGAAAAATGGTAAAGGAAAAAAACATTTCTTTTGATCAGATCTACTCACTGTTAAAATAAATGACTCAACTTCGAAGTCACCCTGTATATTCCAGATAGTTGATAACTATTACGGTTGCAACATTTTTCTTAAATAAAAATTCATTTTTCACTCGAAATATGTTACCTCTAGTGTTCCTTCCTAATATATGACTATTTCATTCGAAAAGACAACGGAGGGCCTGCATGCACGAGCAGTGAAAGTAAAAGTCAAAAACAAACTAATTTTAAAAAAGTTGCTGTATGCATAGTGTGTCCCACTTTTTTAGTTATAATTACTGTCCAAGTTGCATAAATGTATAAGAAACTATCAGATTTAACAGAACGTAAATAATAAAAATGTATATTTAAAATCACTTGCAGCCTTAACCGAACCTACAACTCGTCAAAATACAGCAATTACGCCACGACAAGAGTTTAAAAAAAAAGTATTTCTGAATCAAATTAAAATCGCCACGGCGCTCTTCGTTGTCTCTTGAACTAAAACGCATTGGCCGGAATTAAGGCAAGAGTTGAGAGGTCAATACCTACTGACAGAATTTTTTGGACGAAGCTCGTGGTACGGTCCTGAAGACCCCTTCTTGTTAGGAAGAAACCTGCAGATGTGAGGTTACGACTTTCTTCGTAGGACTAAGATTTCAGAAAAGTCAGATATAAGTCTATGTGTTGCTGTTATCTGTGGAAAGACAGGGAGGGGCAATTGCATATGATGTAGTCGACAAACAAGCGATATAGCAGGAGCTTGCCCCCCAAAAAACCATTTGTATTTGAAAGTCACTCATATTTTCAAAAAAAATGCTCTAAAATGATCATATGTTGTTAGGACCATGAAAGATCATGCTTCTCTTAAGCATGTTGTGACATTGACCACCAATAAAAACAAATGTCTGCCTCCAGAGTGTTGATTGCTTTTGATTAAAATCGTTATTTTTTTGCACGCTATATTACTGACCTCCGACAAACCCACTTGATATATGTCAACAATGACTATATGTGATGAATTACTGTGGATTGCTTTTTGAGTGCTATCAATAACAAGGCAGATCAAACGATAAAAATGAGTCGGTTGAGGACCTACCGTTAATTTGACTAATACTTGTTTGTAGACTTTGATTGATCGTTCTACGAGTCAATAGGGTGCTACTTAATCATAGGCCGTATATTTATAAGGGTGTACTCCCGAACCAAATTTAAGTAGAAAAGTTCTTGCGTCCAAAAAGAAGGCCCGGCTTCCAGAATACGGGTGTCATATTTCAAAAAAATACGGATTTTAGCAGAGAAAAATACCTAATAGGAAACTGTCATATGCTCCTAATACTAGAACAACCGTGATCATAGTTGATCTTATCTTATCTTGATAAGCAATCTTTGGAAGTGCAATGCGATTTAATTTTATCCCTTGCAAACGAAATAAGGCCTGTTTGAAGAGCACACTATGAATCGGCCGATATGACTGAATATTAGCCGATATAGGCCGACCGATAGAATGTAATACAGTTTGGTAAAAGCAACGTTCAACAAACTGAGCAAACTGTCAGGACATTTCTGAGATGAACTATCTAGTAGCCTTGCGTAATGCAATGTGGACTGGTCCATTTTTGTTATAGAAGGAGAGTGCTTCGGTTTGTTGGTTGTGTTTTCATTCTGTTCCCATTAAAGGCCATTTTCCAGTACCCCGATAAGCACAAATATGATTACATGCACATTTACCCTTTAATTTCTCGTAATATTTTAACGATACGAGAAATTTTCATACAAGCAAAATGATCAGGAATCCAGTTCCCGAAAAAAATTGTACTTACGTGTAGGACTGGTTTTCGGGATCTTCGATCAAACGCGTTTTTCAAAATTATTGCAAGTGAGACAGCCGTATCACGACGCCAATTTGAAATTACCATTAGGAAGCAATAATCCATCGGAATCAGCAAAAAAAATTGTTTTCCCCAAAAATGTAGGAAAAAATACATATTTCCTGGCTTACATGATTTTCAGAAGATTTGGTGGCGCAACGTGTAGTTCAGACTGTGTAACTACGGCTCTACTTTGAAATTAGCCTTCAATATTGATCAATTTCACACCTATAGCTTTTCCCTTCAGACTATGAGCGGTTGAGGAATTGAAAATCAGCATTACTCGACCAATTCGCTAAATGCTGTTCAAAATGCGTTGACGCATCATCGACAATTGAAATTCTAAAATCGACGTTGTTATTCGTAGCTTTGGCTACCATTTGGAGAAATAATTTTTATAAAGTAATATCATGGATGCCTTTTTCATCATAAAGATTAGGGGAGATGTGTCATATTCAACGATATCTTCAATGGCGGAGGGGGCTTACACACGCTTGTGAGATGCCTGTACAACTCAGATTTTGACTTAAAAGGATATGCAAGTGATTTTCACGTCACTGACCTACTACAAAAACAAGTACGTGTGTAAACAATCACGATCTGCAAGTAACTGTCTTCGATTATTTTTGATCACTATCTGTATCAAAACAGATGAAATTGTGTAGATAATATATTTCAAGTGGCCACTTCGGGCCAATGCTGTCTCGTGATTTGACTATCAAGGTATTTTAGTCTCTTTCGTTGTTAGAAAAAGATGTATATAATATGAGCTGGTCTTTACAAAAATTATCATAAGCTGCCAAGCTTTCATATTGCTTCAAGTTCATAACAGATTAGTTTACTGAAAGCGAATACTTTCTGTTCTAACATGAAGTGTGCTTTATTCTTCTTGTTTTTTGCTGGTGTTACTGCCGATTTGGAAGAGTGGAAGAACTTTAAGGTAAGTTAATCACAGAAACATCTATATATTTTCTGATCCAAATCCTGGAAATTGAATTGAACTATTATACATCCCTTTCGTCTTTGCTTAACCTACATTTTAATAATATTTTAGATTAGGCATGGAAAAGCATACACCTCTTCCGTCGAAGATAGAAGACGTTTCAGTGTTTTCCACGAGAATTTAAAGAAGATACTAGATCACAATGAAAGGTTCAACAAAGGCGAAGTAACCTATGCCATGAAGGTCACCAAATTCACAGATATGACAGAAAAGGAATTCAAAGATTTCTTGAAGAATTCGTATGGTGGAGGAATGAGGTCATCGGACTATTCACAAGACGCTGCACACGAATCAACTGATGATCAACCATCCAGTGTTAATATTAAAGAACTTCCCAAAACTATTGACTGGAGAAACCAGGGGGCGGTGACTAAAGTGAAAGACCAAGGAATGTGTGGCTCTTGTTGGGCTTTTAGCGCAGTATGTACACAAAAGTACCTAACTAGAGCTAAGAACAAGAAATTCTTTGACAGAGCATATTTCTAAAAATCTCTTTTTTGTAGGTGGGAGCTTTGGAAGGGCAACATTATAAGAGCAATGGGACCTTACTGGACTTGAGTGCACAAGATCTAGTAGACTGTGCTGATGGTACATATGGTAACATGGGATGCAAGGGGGGGCTCATGAGCTACGCTTACGATTACGTCAAAGACAAAGGAATCCTCACGGAAAATGAATATCCATACAAGGGACATCAGGAGTCATGCAAGCAAAAAGGGAATGGATTCAAAATAAAATCGTATATCAACGTTACCATTAAAGACGAGAACGCGCTTACTCAAGCAGTTGGTGAGTCTCGAGGTCTAAACCTCTATTGATATAATTTCCTGTGTAATTAGTATTAGCTTGTAGTTCCATAATTGACTATCCTTGCTGTGTTAATGTACTACTATTACGATAATGTGGAAGAACTGCTTAGGCAATCAAAATAGGTATTTTTATTTATGGTATATTACAGCAACTATAGGTCCAATATCCTGTTGTATGGACGCCAGTTGCATGTCGAGTTACAGTCATGGCATCGTGGACAGCACATGTGGCTGTGACAGTGACAGGTATTCCATGAATCATGGTGTTTTGGTGGTTGGATATGGAGAAGAGAAAGGCATCGAATACTGGATAGTGAAAAACTCATGGGGTGCTGACTGGGGAGAAAAAGGATACTTCAGGCTGAAGAAAGATGGCCAGAATACATGCGGAATTGCTACAGACTCTTCGTACCCTCTGGCATAAACTAAAACCACATAGATATGCATAATACATGAGCCTTTTCTATTTTAGAGGTACTAAGAATTTGAAGTATCATATTCTCATGTTGAGAAGCTTTTTTTGACAAATAAATATATTTTTATATCAAATGCTACTATTTTCTTTGCCCTCATGCAAAAATACCTCTATACTATATTCTCACATGAGCGCTGGAAAGGGATCATTTCGATAGAATGCGGTTTGCCACATTTTTGGGAATTAAACAGTCGGAAAATATCTACCGAAAGCATTCTGCGAACATCTAATATCAGGTTTGAGAGTGGACAGATTTTTTGAACAAGGTCAGGAGATCTTCCAGAGATCTAACAGTGATTCATAATTGTATGTGTTTCTCAGTAGTCCACCACTAAACCGCATGTTGCTCATGATAGCCCAGGAAGTAATACAACTTTTTGTCAGAATGTCCTCGGATAAATTTTCCATAACTTGCTATGCAAGTCGATATCAAATTCTTTTTAACAAATAATGATAATTAATGTCTTTTTATTTGTAATGACGTTACAGGAGGCGACATTTAGATACTATACAGGGTGTCCCAGAAGTCGACGTCAAGCAAGAAACGGGGTATAGGTCAAGTCATAATACGAGGGCTGTCACAAAAATATGGCTCTCACACTTTTTTCAGGCACAAGGAATTTTTTATTTGAGAAAAGATTTTTTTGATTACTTAAATACGTAACTTTGCCCCATACAGGGTGTTTCATAAAAGTTACCCGACAAATTTTAACCACATATGCACTGTTACGAAAGAAGTTGATTCCTCAAAAGTTATAAATCTGAGTTTCAATATTAAATTGAAAAATAAATATCTGTATTTTGCGTTCATCGTCGCGATATTAGAACACGCATCAATAATTTATTGTACCAAATTTTGTACTAAACAACTGACAAAAACAAAATACCTGGAATTTTTTGTTTTTCCATACTGATAGGAACGTGTAAATAAGGTTTAATCTGTATCATGGGTGTTCTGAATGAAGAACGGTCGATTTTTGTGAAGTTAAATAAGAAAGTATTTTGCCAGTTTATGTTTTTAGTTATTTGCTAATAAAAATGGCAGTTGTTTTACGAGCACGTGCTAGTGAAGATTTGTGCCCCAGACGTGGAGTGGATGGAGGTCGGGTTCGCCCGCAACTCGTTTTAAATGCCGAAGACGGAATTTTGGATATTGTGGAATAAAATTCGGGAATAAGCACAAGCCAGTTAGCCCAACAGGTCCCAGAAGTGTCACATGCAACAGCGTGGCGCATATTACATATTATTTTATTATCTCAATTTCTGTAGGACTTATTACATTTTCTTTTTGAGAAATCAACTTCTTTCGTAACGGTGCATACGTGGTTAAAATGTGTCGGATAAGTTGAGAAACACGCTGTATAAGCGACTTCGTATCTCTTACAGTTTCCGAGATCCCAATAGCAAGGGTCGAATTTGAAACACCGTGTATAATATATGTACAGTCAACTAACTAGAGATTATGAAACACGTACTCAAAAGGTCGGTTTTACGCTCTTAAATTACGTCTACCTTACTATTAATTGGCTTATCGTCGGGTTACTGCAAGAACCAGGTAACTCCCAAAAAGAAGTTTTTGCAATTAGAATTTACAAGTTTGACATCGGTTGATTAATCGAGTGGGCAAACGCGGGTTTTAATGGAGTAAAAATCTTATTCAAATAAACAAGTAGAATATACGAAAACTAACTTTTTTATCCGGAACAGGTATATGTTTAAAAGTGTATTCTACTCAAAAAGAGTAGAAAAATGGAGTTATCTTGATTTTGCAGTGATGGAAATATAAGGATAACATTTTATACACAGGTATACCGAAGAACTAGTAGAAGTAACAAATTCGGGAATGAGAGCAGCCCGTTGACTGGCAGTTTGCATTTGATGCTGTCACAGTGTGGCTACTTCTGTGAACGAATTTTCACTCAATGATAACGTTCGAGATAAGCAGAAATCTGTATTTGTGACGTCACCTTGATAGTCGTATTTTTAGTTCCGCTACCTTCTTATAGATGGCGCCATCATAGCTTCGTATTTAGTAAGATTTTTTGAGTATACTATTTCAATGGCTTTATTTTACAGATGTACCATAAAATCATTTGAGAAAGGTATACCGATGAATATTTTTCATTCGGCTACTCTCCAATAGATGGCGCTGTATATCGGTAGCTACCACAAGGTCCACCGTTTTGAATGACTACCTTGGGCTGGTGAAATCCGTTCAGTAATCCCCAGTGCAAGAAAGGAGGAGGACGCTTTGTTTTCCAACAAAGCAAAATCCAATACGTAATATTAGGATATAGTAAACTAATCCAATCAAAATAATCTTTTCATCAAAACATGGGGGGATTTTAACCCCCCTCACGGAAAGTTAAGATTCTTGATCATTGAAGATTCGTTGCCATAGAAAACCACCCAAACCCCGACCAACCGCCCCTAAAGGATCTTTTTGACCAGTTAAATTTTGTGAGGTCTGTGACAGCACTTCACAAAGAAGCGCCATCTATGGGATGGTAGCCCAACTGAACGATTTTTTTTTGTGGCGGCTACTCTCCAATAGATGGCGCTGCATATCGGTAGCTACCACAAGGTCCACCATTTTGAATGACTACCTTGGGCTGGTGAAATCCGTTCAGTAATCCCCAATGCAAGCAAGGAGGAGGACGCTTTGTTTCTCAACAAAGCCAAATCCAATACGTAATATTAGAATATTATAAAATAATCTTTTCATCAAAAAATGGGGGGATTTTAACCCCCCTCACGGAAATTTAAGATTCTTGATTATTGAAGATTCGTTGCCATAGAAATCCACCCAAACCCCGACCAACCGCCCCTTACGGATCTTTTTGACTAGTTAAATTTTGTGAGGTCTGAGAAAACACTTTACAAAGAAGCGCCATCTATGGGATGGTAGCCCAACTGAACGAACTTTTTGGTGGCGGATACTCTCCGATAGATGGCGCTGCATATCGGTAGCTACCACAAGGTCCACCGTTTAGAATGACTACCTTGAGCTGCTGAAATCCGTTCAGTAAGTCCGAGTGTATGCGAGGAGGATGACGCTTTGCTTTTCAACAAAGCCAGATCAATACGTAATATTAGATAGAATAAACTAACAAAACAATGTTTTCATCAAAAAATGGAGGATTTTTAACCCCCCTCACGGAAATTTAAGTTTCTTGATGTTTGAGGATGCGTTGCCGTAGACTCATTCCGAACCCCGACCAACCTCCCCTGTTCCTATGGAAGCCCTGGGATCTTTCTCTACAGGATTCAATTTTAGGTCTCCAAGATAATTATAACCATTAAATATCCATTTGTATTAATAGAAAAACTACTCGGTGTATTGTCTACAAATATCCTGAAACCAGTTATTAATACGTTACTAATGTGAATATAATTCTATGTTTCCTGAAGCGGCACAGCAGCATTAATGTAACTTAATACCAATTTGATAGGTGTTTGAGTTTTTGTGGGCTAGACGGAAATAATACAAATATATAATTTCCACAGATAATCATATTCATCGTAATAATAAATATTTACATTTAGCCATGGAACTGACTGAGACCATGATTTTAATAGAAAAATAACTTATACAATATGTGGTAGAGAATTTATAATACACGAAAATATTTACAAAAATCATAAAAAGGTATTATGGCATATTTTGAAACAACCATAAGGGATAAAATTGTAGCTCAAAATCAATAAATATGCGATGCTACACCGACATATCCTGGCATACTCCTCTCTAAAAAGGCTTTGACACCATAGCTTTGAATTTCAATTCAATTTAAAAGAGGATGGATATATATTAAGATACTCGTCCACTAGTCCGTACGGGTTGTAACGCACGCACGGTACGCAAGGGATCCAATAAACCTGGTTACCAACTAAAATCTATTACATGTCGTGCGTACGTTCCGAACGTTGGGTCCCAGTTGACGCATACCTTTAAACTCTTGTCTGCGATGCATCTTAAAGTATAAAATACGAGACATAAAATTGGAGAAGCCTCTAAAATCCATGAGCGTTCATTTCTTATTTCAATCGGTCAGCAACTCAGGAATGGATAAGACTAATGATACTTCTACTGAGAAACATGTTGAAGTTTTAAATCAGCTACTGAAATAACTGATAACATGAAACACTTGTGCTCTGAATTTTCTTTTACGAAAATCCGCGAAACAACGTCTGACGCCAGAGTTTTGACTCGTCTCAGCATCTTCAGTATAGTTATTAAATCACCATCATGATCATCACCATCTATAAGCTCAACTAAAAACCTTGAAATATTTACTTATAAGGTTGTGCAAAAGGTCTTTCATCTTTCGGTTTCATTAGTTTTGTCCATTCAATACATAACTTGTCTGACGTTTACTTTGGCACTACAAGTTCATTTCAATCATAAGCTTCGCCTCAAGTCATGAACACTCACGCCTATATCTATAGTTGAACATTGCTACAATGATTAAGATCTTAATATTGACAATCACCTTCCGACACGTTAATTTTTTTTAAATCTCTATGTATCAGACTCTCACTTCTTATAGCTTTATAGTATGTACATTTTAATTACAATTCATTTTTATCTTAAATATCATATCTATGAAAGTTGAATAAATTAACTAAAATAACACAGTCAAAAAACGTAATAATTTTACAATAGATACAAATGCTAGAAAACGATAAAAATGAACCTTCGGCTATATAAGCAAATTCGAGCCAACTTACTTGCACAGCTTTGTCGTACTATCTATTTGATAGCAACATCATTCATTTTTGGAAATCCATTCATTTTAGTACATAATAAAATGCAACTCTTGTAGTTTCTTACAGAGCCTGACCCTATATAGCATTCGTTGTGAAATTCTATAAATGTGAACTTATATTCCACAACCTTGCATATACTCGTAATTGTTTAAATTATTATATCTGTAACAGGTGTACTAGTTACTACAGATGGGTCCAATGTATATTTAATGTAATGAATTTCCAAAATTTATGTATGTATCTCCAAGCTCATCCTGCAACCGATCTAAAACGCGTAAAGTTTTTGCAGCTTTAACGCGTAATGCAGTTACATCAAATACTTTTTAGGACTCTTCAGCAAATTCTTCAGCATTCTCTCAAATAAAGACTAGTTTTTATACACATTTACAATTTGTCAAGTAATCAAGTGCCAATAGAAT